AAAAAAAAAAAAAAAAAAAAAAAAAAAAAAAAAAAAAAAAAAAAAAAAAAAAAAAAAAAAAAAAAAAAAAAGAGCTTTGCCAAGACAGTGGCAGATGATGTCTTTTGGGGGAATCCTTTGCCCTTTCGACCAAGATTAAGACTCCCTCTGTGTTCCTTGAATACAAGAGCAGCTTCCCTTTCTGGGCATGCTCAGCCGATATTCGGGTGTTGTATGGGATTCACAACTGGCATGGGCATCAGGCAGCATCTTGCTTTGCCTTTTTCCTTGTTTCCCCCCGGCATTACTTAGGGTGAGGCAATCGCCACAGGAGACCACTGTAGAAATGTGCAAGCAAATCAGATTCAACCAAATGTGGATAGGAGGAACGAGTGTGGAGACTGGTTTGCCACTGTGATCCCTGGGAAGAGTCAGATTTGTCACTGTTCTGCACGGACACTCTTGCTACAGGCATATCATTCTGTCCAACGCAGAAGAGGAAGGTCTATCACTCTGTTGGTGGCAGAAAGGAAGGTTTGTCAATCTGTTCGATGGAGACAGGAAGGGTTTCTCTCTGTTCGGATGCAGACAGGAATGTTCCTCACTATGTTCCATGCGGACAAGAAGGTCTGTCTCTGTATTCCATGACGGCATGCAGGTTTCCCACTTAGTTCTCCTGCGGACAGGCAGGTTCATTACTCTATCCCTGCACAAGTCAGGCAGAGCGCTCATCACCAGATTCCTATTGATATGATACTTCAAATCGAGCAATCGCCTGGGCGTCTCTTGCAATTCTGCTAGCCCTCTACTGTCACTGGCTACAGCATGGGTGCAAGTCCAGTCGGCCTTGCAATCATCTGTCAACCACCAGCTCCACCTATCGAGGCATTCACCCCCATACCAGCTGTCCCTCTTCCCTGCCTCCTGAACTCTCCCCATGATAACTCCTACGGCGATAACAAAGGAAATGGACGCAATCTATCCAAGGGAGAAGAGAACGACAGGGGTCGGGAATAGAGAGGAACAGGAACACGAACCCATTGGTGGGGGATCAATCCGCGGTCTCTTCGGAGGAGGCGGCGACGGCTGGGAAGAATGAGGTGACCCTCGGGCAATGGCAGCGTTCTGCTGCACTGCTGCAGATACGACTCTTGCAGAAGAAGGCTGTTGTGGTGGCACGGGAGTTGGCTTAGGCCCCACAGCAGCAGGAGCAGCAGACGAGCTCCTAGGCATACCCTCACTGCTCCTCCCCATGTTACCACCCGTTGATGGCCTGGACGATGGGCCAGAATCCTCTCTCCTCTCCCTCGGAGCTGTTGAAACCCTAGGCATAGGCTCAGTCTGAGGCCTCCCAGTCATTGCTGCTGCTCTGCCACTGCCACCATGCTGTTCCTCTCGAGGTCGAACATCATTTGCAGCACCACCACCCCCTTGCCTCACTCTCTCATCCATGCGCACATCCTTAGCTCCCACACCCTTCTCTCTCTCTCTCATGCTGTCTCTTCTCACGTCTTTGTCTTTGCCACCACTTCCATCTTCTGTCCACCTGTTCTCCAGCTGCCTTTTCAGCAACAGCATTGTTTCCGGCGAGATAGCTCGATTATCCCCACCAGTGGCTTCTACTTGCTGCCACAGCGTATCTGCCTCCTTAAGCTTCTCTCGAGCAATGCTCAACTGTTCATTGGTCACACCAGATACAGCAAGGGGAAAGAGAGAGAGACAAGGAGACAAGGATTCACATGAACAACGCAAATCGCTTGCTTACAAAAAGATAGGCGACAAGAAGCATGCACACTAAGAATCCAAGTCGGGGCAGAAGAGGAAATACGTATGTGTGTGTATGTGTGTGTGTACGTCTATGTGTGTACTCGTGTATGTGAAAGCGTGCTTTGAATTTTCACCACAACAGCCCCTATTCCACCCAGATGAGTAGATACAAAATCGAAGCAGCTTTAGTCCTATTGTAGACAACAAAAACACTTGAGTTCAGACAAACCAACAATGAAACAGTTACCTTTATAGCAAGCAACACGGAGCAAAATAGAAGCATATAAATCCCTTTCTTTAACTGTGTTCACTTTGGCTTTTTTGGTTACCTTTTTCATTCGTCCTTGCAACTCTCCTTTCACTGTGCCTCTCACGTACAAGGCTCACCACATTGATTGTGGTTGAGTGCGAGCTGCCCACATCCATGTGTGTCATAACCGCCCACTTGCACAATATGAAACAAGGCAGAGTTAAGGCGGAGGTATGTTCTTGTTCATTTTCCCTCAGATCTTCAGCTTATATTTTCTGTTCTCTTAATGATGCTCAAACGTCTGCATTTACTAGTAGAACAGAAGAGGAGGGAGGAAGGAAATAAGAAGTGGAGTTCTCACAGGGTACTAAATACTCACCCACTAGCGCAAATTGGCACATGAGGTCAGACAGTGTTTGGGTTGCATACGATTTTGAGTTGAGCAGCAGCCATTGCCTATGGTAAGTGGCCACCTCTACCGGATAGGACCGGTTCAGGTGTGGACTGTGGAAGCACCACATCCAATTCTCGCAGTCGCAGTTGGTGCATCGAATGGTACGGCCTAGACAGATGTCACAGGCCACGTGGCTCCTACATGCTGGGAACACAGAAGCATGCCAACCGAAATCGTAGAGGCATTGCCGTTCCAGCTCCTGTCTACAAATTGGATGCGACATGTCAGGTGCCATACATGAGTGCAGTATCAACTGTCATCATACGTACGTGTATGTGTGTATGTACGTGTGCATGTACGTGTATGTGAATGTGTGTGTGTACATGCACGTGTACGTGGACATGTATGCGTATGTGTATGTGTACGTAAATGTGTAT